CACCCGCTGCAGGAGCAGGAGCCGCTCGGAGACAGGAAGTACATCAAGGACTTCGAGTTCCTGCAGAAGTTGACAGAGTTCGAAGCCTCTATTGGTGAGAATACCATAGTCGTTTAGCAATGCTAATGACAGAGAGAGAAACAATGTAAGATGTGAGCAGGTGGCGCTAGTGTCAAGAGTGGGCTGTCATCTTACATCTGTCAAAATTTGTATACGTCATATAGTAACTTTATATAAAAATGTAAATAATCTATTTTATTTAAATTAATTACTAAATTTTTGAGTGAAATTTGAATATTTAGATCTACTGACACTCTTGACTATGCTGACATTTTAGTGACCAAAAGGCAATTTTTCTCGCTTCTGCTGTTAAAATATGTTTTAAACGGTGATAATTTCTTAATTAATTTGCTAAAAAAATACTTTGATTGTCGTTGCTATCTGTATAATTTCTTTTGCAGGAGTCCAGTTCAAGCACATCCGTCTGCTGGCGCGCGCGTTCACGGACCGGTCAGTGGGGTTCACGCACCTGACGCTGGGCTCCAACCAGCGGCTGGAGTTCCTGGGGGACACCGTGCTGCAGCTCGTCGTCTCCGACAGGCTCTACCGCCACTTCCCCGACCACCACGAGGGACATCTTTCGGTAACGATACACTATGTTACTAATTACAATTGTATGAACACTGCCGCTATTACAAACCCAATCGACCTAATTTCTTGTTTCCTTAATTCCACAATTTTTTTTTTAATTCTAAATAATTTTTCGATATATCTTTGAAAAACTTTTTAGTATCAACAGACCTTTTTATAATATTTTATAATAATATTAAAGCAATAAAAAAATGTTTCCAGTTACTTCGCTCGTCGTTGGTGAACAAACGCACTCAGGCGATGGTGTGCGATGACCTGAACATGTCTGCCTACGCCATTTACAACAACCCCAAAGCCAAGCCCACCACCAAGAAGCACAAGGCTGACTTACTAGAGGCCTTCTTGGGCGCACTTTATATCGACAAGGTAACATTCAAAAACAAGGACGTATGAAACTACTAAGATTTCTAATAAATTGAAGTCAAATATATTATAAATGTTTTTCTAATGATGTTGAAATGTTTTATATCTTTTTTAAGAATCTCGAGTACTGCCAGGCGTTCTGCAACGCGTGCTTGTTCCCACGGCTGCAGGAGTTCATCCTGAACCAGGACTGGAACGACCCCAAGTCCAAGCTGCAGCAGTGCTGCCTCACGCTGCGCTCCATGGAGGGCGGCGAGCCGGATATACCCTTGTATAAGTATGCTTTTCATTATTTTTTTTTCCAAACAATCGCATTTAAAATATACGTAAGATTATTTGTATCGGTCCAGGGATTGATTTACAAATTCATGACATCCGATAGATGGCGTTGGCATCTATCTTCATTTATTCTTCTTTTTATTTTTTTATGTAGCAATATTCTTGCTGAAATGTTGGATTATATATGAAATAAATAGAAATGTGAAGTATATATTTGTGTGTGCAGAGTGATCGAGTGCCTGGGTCCGACGAACACGCGCGTGTACTCTGTGGGCGTGTACTTCCGCGGCGCGCGTCTGGCGGCGGCGCGCGGACACTCCATACAGGAGGCGGAGATGAACGCCGCAGAGCTCGCGCTCAACTCCGCACACGGTAAACATGCGCTCTACACTTTGTCAGTGGGGAGGGTCAAAGTTTTGATTAATTCTAGCTTTTCTTTAAATTTCTTGTTACAAATAGTATATGGACTATCTTAGATATTTTTTGAGTGAATTTTGACGAAAGTTCCTGCTATGACTACAGTCCACAAAGTACTCTGTATATAAAATATTTAGTACAGTAAAAAAAGCAGTTTTTCTTCCCATTGACAGCATACAACTTAAGATGACTATTTCGAAGAAGTTACGATTTTCTGTTATATATCACTGTTGTAGGAATTAAAAGAATTTAAATGTGTAGTATGCTATCATATCTTTACAGAACTATTCCCGCAATTGGATCACCAGAAGAGAGTGATCGCGAAAAGCGTTAAAAAGAAGAAGAACAAACGTAAGAAAGTGTGCGCGGGTCCGTCTACATCGGACGGTGTCGGGTACGACTTGGAGAAAGTTCCGCGTGCCTACCGCCTCGACCAGCGCACCGAGAGCTCCGACAGTAGCGCCCCCGAAGTGTCCGACAACGAAGTAGCCGATCGCTCCGGGGACGACTCCGGTCTCGTCAGCGACCCCGACTCCGACGAGGATATCCAGAATCTCCAGGTGAGCAGCCTTCTCACAGAGATGGAGAAGACCAAAGAAGACTTCATCAAGACCAACAAATACGAGCAGTTGAAGGAGAAATGTAAAAAATCCGATACAGATGACGATTGAATTTAAAAAAAAATTCAATATTCCTAAATTTTTGCTTATTCTGCTTTATAGTATTATGTAAATAATTTAATTCAATGCACTTTTAGGAAATGTTAGAAAATTTATTTAATTTAAGAATACATATGCATAGTTATAAGTGGAATTAATGTGACATTTGTTTTTTGCTGGCGGCTTATCTGGATGGATTGCATCAATGACATATTATGTTATCGATATGGCTATATAGCGAATGAAGAACTTTTAATGTTAATTAAATGATAATTAAGTTTAACGACGCTGCAATTAAGTGGAAATAAATCAATGTATTAAAAATATTGCATTTTATTCTATCTTGAAATATTTAAAAGGGTTTGACAGTTGAAATTCACGAAATGGAATAGTAAATAAAAAACCTATAAGTAAATGTAATTCAATGTTATTTAACAACAAAGTGTGAAGGCGATAGGTCCCTTGAAGTTCTTAGCGCGCAGTGTGAGCCACTGCTTCTGGTTGGGCACGTACATTTCTGCAGGCATCAGCTGCTCCGGAGTGTCACTTTCTGAAACATTACCAAAACTAAATATATTATTTTTTTCAAATATGGACAACAACGTCAAAAAAGAAGCATACTATGATTTTTTTTTGACGAACTCGACAAATTTGTGTGAAGGGTGAAGGAAAAACAATGATTATCGCATAAAATATTAACTAACCTTCCAACTGACGGTTGATTTCTGAGACCAAAATCTTTGTATAAAACATATCGTCATCCCTGTCATTACCTTTGACAAAACAGAGATAACAATATGTTTTAAACAGAGATTTCGGTCTCAGAAACTCACGGTAGGACGCTAACAGTATACTCGCGGTTTTACACATCTATTGGCTCTGTTATTTCAAAGAGAATGAAAGAGATGACGACATGTGGACAGTACAGGTACAGTATTGTGGAACAGACTGCAGTTATCTCACCATGTTTGCGAATGTTCTTAGCAGACTGCATGGTGGAGTCTTGCATTGATATCAAGTCGCCGGGCGCGTGCAGCAGGAGTCTGCCCACACCTTCACATCTCCTAAAATAACACAAAAGGTTATTTACTTTAGTGGGAATTTCATTTTAATCAATGTAATGTCAGGAATAAAAAAGGATCTTAAAGACTTTCTGGTATGTATATAAGAAACTGATTCTAGCGATTTAAAAAACATATTCCTTTTTTTATTTTGTTCATAAAAAATAGTGTTTTTTTCACAAATTTGATGAAATTGTTTATCTGTGGTGTCACTATTAATGATGGTGACATCTGTAGTGTGCAAAAGGTAGATTTTCTCCCTTTTCAAAAAAAATAAAATAATTCAAAAATTTCAAAAAAAATGAAATAATTAAAAATTACCTTAAAACCTCATTTTGTAACATTTGTTTCCTACAGATCGCCGAGAGTTGTATACAGTCGTTCAGCCACACGCGGACTTCATCAAAATCAGACAAAAGTTGAAGAGCAGCCTCTTTACTATGCAAATAATTAATTAATTAAATTATATATTATTTTTTGGTGCAACAATCAATTAAAAAATACTTACGTGAATTTAACTTTAGCGACATATATATGATGTAGCCAGGACTCGCACATAATTCTCAATATCAAATTGAGAGATGTGACGTCATCCGTTGCTTTTATAACTGGCAACAACATCGCATCTGAAACATAAACGTGTTAACACTTTCCGTGTCACCAAATCCTTAACGGTATTGACCAAAAAAGGCATCTCATCCGGTGGGCAAAAGTTCCAACAAAATTATGACAGCTCACTAGCGCCCTCCTGTCAATGTCAAAAATTGTCAAGTCTTACATATTTCCTGACTTTTATTATCTTTGAACATTCAAGTTTCGTGTATGAATCTACAGTTTGTTAAAAATATGTCTTCCAAGTGTGGCAGGATCACTGAACGTCTAAACCGATTTTGACGAGTCAGCTCTTATTCGATCTTCTTTCCCGGAGTGTCAGGCTCATAGTATGGTCGAGTTTTTTTTAGATTGTCAGGTAAAAAGTAACCTAATGTTCGCCATTTTAGCACTGATGGTAGCGGTTTTTAACAGTGGTGTAGATTCGAACTAATAATATAAAAATAACTGTTAAGTAACCGTCGGGCGATTTTAAATCGAAACGATATCGTATTCAAGTAATCGCCTATGTAACCTAACAAATGGTTACCTAAGAAATCCTGCACGTAGACAGAGAAGTCGGGTTGTGGATGTGAGATGCGGCGCCACTCCGTGTTGCTGGGGAATATCATGGTGAGATGTGCGAGGCTGGTGGTCGTACATACTGATGACAGCACTTCTACTATCTCCTCACTCGCGTCCTTACAATCATTAAAAACAGTATAAACTCTTTGTTGTGTATAACTGGCCGTTTGTATTCAAACAACTGGCCACTAACACTTGATTATTTTTTTTTATTTTATAAAATTAGTAACCAACATTTTTATTTATGACCAAAGATGATATTATTGAATTTTAAACAATTACGTTCATAAATTATTTGTAAACATTTTTTGTACTTACTTTAAGTTTCTGTATATTGACTTTGATTTCGGAAACTAATTTTTCTCGCATATTCGCGCTTACTTTTTCATGAACTCCAATATTCTCTGGAAAAAAAGCACACAAAATTCTGAACATCCTTTAGTCCATATCGAAATCGCTAATTTTAAATTTGTTATTTAACAAATTGTTTAGAACCTCTGTATTATTTACCGCGGGTTTCTGAGACAAATATTTCTATATGAAACAAACGTCACGTATGCCATTATCTTTGACAAAAGAGAGATACCAACATGTTTTAAACATGGATTTTGGTCTCAGAAACCTACGGTTACTATTGAACTAGTCTGTTACCTGCTTCTATAGACGTCGTATGATCCGCGAAACGTAAGTTAGCAAGTTGTTCCAAGCAGACTTGCATGTCCTTCAGCGTAATTCTGAAGAAATCATCCATCTGCCAGAGATTGGCGAGACGTCTGGTCTCCGAGAGACACCACAGCCTGTATGTGTGGATCGAGTGATCTGCGAATTAATAAATAACTAAATATAGAGAAAACTTTTCAAATTGCATTAAAACGAGCAATCCCACGAGTAGCGGCGTGAGCGTAGGGCGTGTTGGGGCAACCGCCCAGGGTGCCGGGCATAAGGGGTACCTTGTGCTCGGCTGGCGCCAGAGTCAGACAGAAAGGGTCCCTGCGGTGCCGCCCGCTAAGAATATTTCCCCGACACCAAAAAAAAAGGACCGCCGCAAAAATCTCGCCCAGGGCGAAATTTTAAAACCGGTCCTGAATGTCACCGACTCACCAACAGAATTCAGTTTCTTAAGAACCGTAGAAAAATCGCAAGTGCTTATTGTAAAAATAGACATACTATTATTAGCTTCAGTCGAGACGACTGCAATTTATCTACACTTAGTTATCTTACCGAGTCTGTGTAGGATAGGAATCTGTTCGACGAGAGGTAAATCTTCAATGGGCGCCCCGAGAATGTGATCCCAGGTGACCTCGCATTGGTTGTTCAAAGTTACCAACTCTTGGAGCATTAAAGCGAAGTTTGCTCCAGATATTGTACTCTGAAAATATACTGTAATTAATTCATAAACTCATCTAAAACTATTACATAATGTAAAAAAATAATATATTTTTCTTAGTATCTTATTAATATTATAAATAAAAATGTTTAGATGGATGGATGGATGTTTGTTTGAAAGAATCGCCAAAACGGCTGCACGGATCTTGCTGAAATTTGGCATAGATGTAGAACAGTCTAGAAGAACACATTACTAATTATTTTATTTAGTTTATCGCGGACGAAGTCGCGGGCGACAGCTAGTTGTAATAATAAATACTTTACCTCAGTAATATAAACTGATAACTCAGGATACATTTTCAAAGACGTTGGCTTCAAATTTGTTGTAAACGTTGCTCTGAAACAATTATTAAGTTAAAATGTAATTAAAGTTTGTAGCTCATATACCTCGGAGCAAAGTATTACAACAACCAAATTATTATTTTTTTTAGAAAAAAAAAAACAAAAAAATACCCAAAATGTCTATCCCATGACGTTGTAGTAACATGACATCCTAACGCATCGGCCAATATCCTTAGAGCGGACAGTATTAACTCCGGAGTGTCTGAAATTTAAATTAGTTCCTAAATCATTTTATACTAGATATTAATTATTTAAAAATGCTATCATAAACCTACTATTAACATTGAAAGTTGTGAATAGCCATTGACGAAGATTTTGACTAGTATTCGGTGATCTGAAAAAAAGAGAAAATTCAATTTTTTAAAGAATTAAATAAATAAAAAAAGCTAAATAATTGTTGACATACCTCGTGCCTAGAGGGAATTTGGACCACCATAGTATAATGTGTTCCAAACAGCTGCCGACATCACCCCACAGAATGTTCTGATAGTACTCCGTCACTTTGTGAGCGGCTTTCTTACTCACTTGTATTCGACCTAATAATTGTTTAAATTAACATATAAATATGACTCTAAGTTTTATTAAGCTTAGGCCGTGGGATTTTAAATGAAATAAAACAGAATAATTATAAAAATATAACTGAGTTCGTATAATACTAGTATGCAAACAAACTGATTGCAAACATTGCGTGAAATATTTTTGCAGGCGCGGATTGTTAACATATAGGAAAATAAGATTCATAGATAAGGACTTTAAATTCACGCTGTGGCTTACCAGTTTTAAGTTTTTTTACTCCGTTCGGTCCTAGCAGTATTGGAGCGATGTTAGCAACGGTGTCTAGTAATATTTCTATATAAATCTCTTCACTTTGTAGAATACTGTTTACGTTTTCTGAAAGATAATATTACAGAAACTTAAAGGATTTAAAATATGTCTCTTTATTACAACTTCATCTCTGTGAATTAGCATCGATCACTAGGGTTAAAATTGAACATTTATCCATATTTTTAACAAAAAAAATCAAAAGTATGTATCGATTTGCCTTTTAGTGTTTATTGATTGCAAATAATCAAATATTTCGAAACATTAGGATAGACTATTTGGACATAAAAACAAGTCTACCTTCATTTTTCAATACAGTATCCAAAACACATTCATTAGTTAACAGAGATGTGTAAGGTATATCCCCATCAGAATGTTGACTTATAACATCGCTTAGTTTCCGATGTCCGTTTATCTTTTCAACCATGCTCTGTACTTGTTTCATCTTTGATTTCTTACTCTCTATGAACGCCTCTCGTTTTTCTGTTACACTCATTTGACGAGACGCGGACGACG